TTTGATCAATAAAATTGGCAAACTAGTTTAACCTGTTATTATACATTCCAGGCGGGTTGACATATGTGTAACGATTATCATTTTCTTCTTCATCACAGCCAGAACTGAAAGCAGAAAAACATGCAAGTATGTGTTTGATAAGATTCTTCATATACACACACGTTACAAACCCCGTCGCTCCCTCTCAACCTGACTTTGAAAAAAGCTCACCGGGCGCGACAATTTTAGGATTTACGGCAGATGCAGGTAGTGAAGTAGAAGCGACACGACCATCAGTGACAAAGAAATGTCGAATTGTAATCCTGGCCACAAACTTTCACAGGTTTTACCTCGTGTTACACACATCCGTTGGGGTGGCGTAAATGGAGACTGCTTTCTCGTCCGGTTGAAAGCTCACTGCAGGTGTGTTCCGGTTGTTTTGATTTTCCCTACTACGCCTGCAGTAAATTTGAAAATCCAAAAAAAGAAAAAAAAACTGGATGAAACATATAGTTTGCTTCACTAACGGTGTGCGAACTTTTGTAAAGATTTTCCGTGCATCTAGCTTACTCAAAAGGTGCCGTTCACAATCGATAGTTGAGTTCAAAATGAGATCAGAAAAGTAAATTACGCGAGATTCCTATACGACTTGCCATATACATTTGCGAAGGTGGCAAAACTTCACATTGGCACTTCATGATTTTAAATGAAAAAACTGTAATTATCCTTACTGTCTGCTTAACAATTCTCATGATAACGATTTGATATTGGATCAACTAATAATCCCCTATTGATATTTTTCTTTATTCTCATCACTTGTCTGCTTGATATTGAATTTTTATTGTAAGGAGAAATTCTTTCTTCGTCACTCATGGGAGGTAAAGGGCTAAGGACATAATATCGATAACAAAGTGTTGAACTTACCGCTTTCTGTGAAAATAAAACAAAGCTATTGCGGATATCGCACAAATTACTGTCAAAGCTGCAATTAATCCAGCAATTAGGGAGGTGTTTGACTCAGACTCTCTTCCATCGTCCAATGTGTCAGACAAACCTTCTCCTCTCGTCATGGAGGTGTGATCTGTTTTTTGTTGAGAGCTGAGTTTGCTCTCTCTAGTAGAAGATATCTCTTGAGTGGTCTCTTCGCTTGATGACGTTGTAGTTACTTTGTCATTGACCATGTTTGTCTGAGTTGAGGCAAGGGTTGTGCTAATAGTTGTTTTGGCTGCTGTGTTGAGAAAGATAACACATTTTTATGTTTGTGGCATATACAGAATATTCCAGAATAGGATTCCCAGCCCCGCTTATTGCTATGTGAAGGCATGTCAGCTTCTCTTCCACTAATTGGTTAAACTACGCTGTACCTGATTATGAGATTTCTATCGTGTTGTAGTGTTCGTGTGAGCAAAGCCCGAATCACTGAACTATTCAGCATAACAATCGAAAGTAAATACTATAGTATTTTTTAGGTAAAAATCGTCTAGTTATTCAAAACATAACAACAACCCAAGCGCATATTTTTGTTATTATGTTTGCAACCGCACGCTGTTAGGCTACTCACCCTACTGTCTATTACGCATTATATAATAAGCTCAGTTATGCACGCATTCTGATTGGTTCTCACTTATGATCTATCTAAATGTTTAAGGTTTTTTAAGACTTACCCCTAATCTTTATAGCTTGGTACCTGGCACGAAATCCTTTGCCTGACAGAGTATCATCTGATCGAAAAATAACTGTAACATTGTTACCAGTGGAATTTAATTGAGGCGTTGTCATGTCACAGACTTGATCAATGAGAACGGTTATTCCGTTAATTGTTTCCCGCACGTAGACAAAGTCACACCAACAGCAACTGGACTCTAAACTGACGTCATCAAAAGTGATCAGAATAGCGTAATTCCAAGGAACCTCAATATGCCACTTGCACCAGGCCTTGTTGTTATAGTTTTGTGGATAATATGGACTGTGGAATGTGCCATTCAGTGCCGTCATTGTCTGCGTGCACTCTGTTCGAATGAAAGGAAGACTAAGTTGTGAAAAAAAATGCATAAATATTAACTAATAATTCTACCTCGAAGTTTAAGGGTGTGGCTTATTGAAGTCCATTACGTTGGAGGGTTGAAATATTGTATCAAGTCCCTAACGTAAGCGTTTGAACGTATAGAAAGTCTTAAGCCTTTTTTTCCCTTTTGAAAATGATGTTACACTTGGATTGAAAGACCACATCGAACATTACCTTGCTGAGTAAGGTCTGGGTTTAGAGGGGTCGTTTAGAAGACAATTGCCTTTTATTGTCCTTACGAGCATTTAATGTCGATGACGTCCTTCAGTTAATCTATTAGTTCGAGCTAAAAAAAAGCAAATTTTTTTTCTTTCGAATCGTTACAGGCAGGCTTATGATTAAGGAGATTAGGTAAGAAAGTCGATAACCGATTGGGTCACACAAGCGTGAACATCCAGGCCTAATTCAGGTTATGAAATATTAGTGGCATTGTAGGATGGAAACTGAGTGGTTGGCCTTCAAAATTAAATCCAACAAGAGAGCTGACAACAGACAGGAGGGACGCATATCCGTCCCTCTCTGACTCCGTTTGTTTCCTTTCACAATTTTTAGCATGAGAAGCTTGACCTAAGTGGGTAGCAAGCGTAAACATATGGCTTTCGCCCCACGCCTTTGCATGACTCCACTCTCCTGTTTGGTCTAGAGGACAGAGAAAAGACTGCCATACAGGCTACGAGATTTGTAAAAATTCGTACCTGTCGCAGGTGTAGCAAGCGTAATTTGAAGCTTCATTTCTCGACTCAGTTGGTTCTGCGTGAACGCTCTAGCCTATCCGATGTTTTTTTTATCGTGACTAGTTGCTACAAACAAGAACTTGAAGATAAGTGAGCCTGTTACCTCTATAGTAACAGTAATGTATTCTTGGCGGGGAGAAGTCGGCTCCATATGGATATGGGAACGATTTCGCGTCTATATTACGATCATCTTCTGTGTCATATGCAATGTATTCCATCTTATGTATGGTGTACAGAACTTCTTGGCAGTGTGGTCTAAACGCCATCAAGTAAAAGGGAGACGTAAAAGGAAGATCTATTGGCTCTTTATATCCGTCAACGGTGTTCTTACAGCAAAAGAATATTTTTGTGTTATCATCAAATACTCCTTTTGGAAGAACGCCGGCATGGGCGTTTTTGTTTGTTCCGTCAGCACCATCTTCGTCATCCCAAAACATCCACCCACTTTGCAGTCCATCTGGACAATCAGAGCCTTTCTGATAGATGCAGTATTCCCCGGCAGGCCATCGGGGTCGATTTCTCTCCACTATTGCTGTTATGTTGTCCTTTATACAGAAAAACTGTTCGACATCACCCGAGACCTTGCCTTTGAGCTGAGAGTTCGGTGAGACAGTAGTAACACTATCCTCGTCCTCGAGATCCTGGTAGATGTATCCTGTTTGCCATTGAAATCCATTTGCCCCTGGACAGCCACTTTTTGGCATGGGTAGTCCATACATTCCTGACGGCCATAATGCAGCACAGCAAACTATGGAGAATGAAGATAACAGTGTAGCTTATTTCAGAGCTAAATTTGCGTGTCGATTTCTGTTCAAACCTACCCGGACTTACATAAATAGTTGAAAACCCTTGCGGATTTATTTTCACTGTCTCGAAGGGAATTGTGGCAAACTCTTGCAAAGGATACTTGAATTTTTTTTTTTTGTAAAGGTATGGGGAACTTTGAACATTGCGCTCTCTATTTTCACATTCGTCGAGCTCGGAGAAGCTCGACGAATGTGAAAATGACGCTCTTTACGACAATCTCGTCGCCCTGTTTTACGATAAAAGTGAGAGCATTTAGACGGAGCGCAGTTCGACGAAGCCATTCTTGCGAGACAAATATTGAGTAATTAGGTGGCTGAAATTTGCATAATCAGCAATTAATGTGTCTGTGCTCTTTTCAGCACGGTACTCCATTCGGCATTTTATGGCACCTACCCGCTGGGTTTCATTAACTTATTTTAATTTGTGAAGGAAGGAAACATTCATCTTGTGAGGAATGTCACATTCTTTTTGGTTTTTTTAATTCCTTTCGTCGAATTTTTCGATTAACGGGGATACTGTTACTCGGAAGAAGTGATTCCTAGATTTTTACTGAAGCATGTTCGTGTAAGCCACGCATGTTCGTATAAGCCACTTTCAAATTCGATGAATGGCCTCCAAATTATTTTACCGTAGCTCGGTGAAATATGCCAGGCCTTTCAAAGTTTACCGTGTCAAAATTCGCAGTTAGTACATTTTTCAATTCTGTATCCAAAATTCAGACCCTCGA